AGTGATTGAATGAATGAATGAATGAATATGAGGCAGAAGAAGAGCACTGCACTGAGGAATATATGGGATTATCCTGGAGAGGAAACAATGAGCACAGCAAACAGAAGCTGTAATGTGGCACATGAACAGCATCTTTAGTGGTTGGAAACAATACAAACAATAGGCAGTCACCTTTCTCTCTCTCTGGCTGTTGTTTATTGGTGCTCTTGCATACAGTTGCAATGGTTGAAAGCTCCTAGTTAGCCGTAGCATTAGCAGCATCCCCTGCTGTTCATCACCGGCAGAGCTGTAATTACAGTCACATCCAGAAGAGACAAAAGGGGGAAGCTCGACAGAAGTCTGGCCTTTTAGCCCTGTGTGTGTGTGTGTGTGTGTGTGTGTGTGTGTGTGTGTGTGTGTGTGTGTGTGTGTGTGGTTACACCTGTGCAGTGTGCGTAGGTGTGCATCATGTGTGCGATAGAGATCAAGCAGGGACAAAACAAGTGCGAAGAAGCTTGGTTGTCCTTTGAGCCACTGCTCTAAAAGAGTCCCCCCACCACCCACTCTCTCTTTCTCCCTTTCCCTCTCTCTCTCTCTCTGATTGCCAGGATCTTTTCTTTTTCTTTTTCACTCTTCCTCTCTCCTTCCCCTCCTGCTCACGTGTCTCCTTTCCCCATCTACTCCTCTTCCCTTTCTCTCTGTAATTGCTGCTGCAGTAGAATTTAACAGAACAAGGATCGCTCTGATTTAGTCACTGATCAAAAATAAAACCAAAAAACACCCTAACAATCCGGTAAATGAAACAAAACAAACTAATGCAAAAAAAAAAAAGGTAAGATTTGCCTGATCTGGAGAAACGCGCACAGAGACCTTGATGCTTAAGCACAAAAGTTAAGAGAGTTAATTTGATTTGTGTCTAAAAGGAAGAGGAAAAAAAAGGGACAAAAACACAGAGTTTTTTTTTTTAATGCCTAATTAGCTTCTTTTTCAGGCGGCTCTCTACGGAGATTTTAATTATGATTTGGCATCAGCCGGCATTTATGGGATGAAATGGACGTTGTTGATCAAGGCTCTGTTGGAAGGTGGTAGAGATGGAGGGTGATACAAGCAAACCAGAGCGCGAGAGAGCGCGAGAGAGAGCGAGACAGAGCGTGCGAGACAGAGAGAGAGAGAGAGAGAGCGAGAGAGAGATTCTGGAACTGATCAAACACATTTTCATTCACACCATGCTCAGCTACATGCTGACAAGCCATGCACGCCAAGACCCAAGTCGGAAGTAGAGCTCTTTTTCTGGCATTGAAATTTGCACTTAAAAAGTCAAAAGCCACAACATTTCTAGAGAATTGTCTGTTCTGTGACTTTCTATTGTAAGTTGATGTAATATCTTAGGGTGTAGCAGCTTACTAAAGCATCCAATTGCAGTTCTGAGGACTGTCTATTCTCCTCTTCCTTCATTTTGATCAACAGGAAGTGATGTGTCTTCTGTTTCTAGTTTGTTGGAAATAAATATGAGATTAATAAATAAATAGTACAGTTTAAAGATCCTCTTCCGTGGAGTCCACCATGTTGAACTGCCATGTTTCACTTGTTACACTTGCTGTAGATGGGGCCTGTCGCATTTTTTGTGGGTTTCGCCGGCATCGTAGTTTTCCTACACACTTGGAAATGAGGGGTGAGGCGAGGACATTGCAATCAGCAACTACACTGCCAGATACCACTAAACCCCTATTCCTTTGCCTAAATCTGTACTGTTGTGGCTCAGTCCCACCACTCTCATCAGTCCTCTTTCTAGACCAGCAGGCAACTGTTTGTGCAGTAAAAAAATAGCTGGTGAACATAGTGAAGCATTTAGCTGGTGGAGAACAAAACAGAGATAAACCGGGAGTGAATATTGGTCTTCAAATCCTTAATAACTGTTTTTTTTTTTCAAGGAAAGACAAAAAATAAAATGTTCCTACGGTATGGTACATAATGTTTTTCCTGACAGGTAAACATATAGATATATATGTTAAGGTGCACAAACCATTGCACCCTTAAGGCTAGCAGTAGTTTTCAGTAATGTTAATTCACTTTCAGCCGTGTAATGGTAAATACATACATGGTAGTGTACTGTACAGTCAGTGATCAACATAAAGCAAACACAGATATAGACTTTAATCCTATATTTCCTCATTTCCTTTTCCTTATTCTCATAACTCACAAGAAATGAAACTATGATTTATTGTAGCCTAAAGAGATGGTAATATCTATGCAGCAAATCAGGCATTTCTTCGGATTCCTGCTTTTTCGACAACCAAATGCACAAGTCTTTAACTAAACAGTTAATATAATGCGGATTTTTACTGATAAAGATTCCAGCTGTACAAGCAGAACAGGGCAGATGTGGATGATTCAGAGGTTTTCAGGATGAGGAATAAACTCTGAGACCGGCAGTGCCACACTGAGACACGTACAAGACCATGGGAGTTAGCGGAAAGGATGTTCACACACATGCACATACGCATGCACACGTACAGTAATCTGAGCAGCAGAGTATCATCTGTGTAACCACATCCTCTGCCTCAGTGTGGAGAGGAGGTACCTGACACCCCATCACCCTATATGAAAACTCCCTAGTCATCACTAATATGGGCAGGAATATCAACATTTAATATGCACAAGGGGACCGCAAAGGTCATAGCAGGGGTGCAGGATGAAGAAAAACGACAATTTCTTGCAGATGAACGAAAATGATGGAGCCTGAACACACAGTAACAATGCATCCACCTTTATAGTGCAAATTCACCTTTCTCTACTCTCCCCAACTGCTTCTTATTTATAGGGTTACAGTGGAAATCATGATGGGAAAATTGTACTTACACCCCTCCAGTACAACTTATATATCCTTGATTTGTTGTACCGGCAAATGCAGCCAGAGGTTGTATGTTCTAGCTCAACCACTAATATATTATTATATGATATTCTACATTTCTGACAACCACTCTCCAAAGCGTACCACAATTTAAAACATTGTTTTTCTATCTTCAAGCCATTTGCTTTTTTTTGTTTTGTTCTGTATGCCATGAAAATGAACTTGCACATAGTTATAATCCTTTAATTTGAACAATTTTGTCTCTTTTTTGTGTCAAAGTCACATTATTATCATCATTATAACCGTTACAGGCAAGGAAAGGTGCAGGTGTTACTAATAGCATTAATAATGGCTCAGTTCTATTCAAGTGTGACAGTGAGCCAACATGAACAATAGCAGGACCCTGCAACTGAAGCAGCTAAATGGAATCCAGCCATCATTCATTTTATTATTTACACCTGTACTTTTGCTACTGTGACATGTTAATTCCTAGAAAAAAGCCTATCAGCTGCCAAAACGCATCAGAGAATTTAATCTAAAAGGACAGACAAGCAAACGTGGCTCTGGTGAGATGAAATGACTTACATTTAAAATGTTGCTGTGCAGCAACTCTCAAATCTCAGATGCTGCAGCTTCCTTGGATGCCTTGAATTACCAAGGCTGCCTGGAGTGTCTTGAATCCCTCTTTAAAGGTATGATATATTTTGGAAAATGATCTACAATAATGTAAGATGTATGTGATTTGTAAAACCAGTACGATTTTTGGCCACTATGGCCCAGAAACAAATCCAGATGACTTAATAAAGCCAAGTTGATATATTTATTATGGCTAATGCACATCAAGTAGACACGGAGCAACTGTAGAATTCGCCAGCAGTCGTGTCTCTGGCCACCTGCTGATTGTAAATCCATTATTCACTCTCTTTGTTAGCTCTGTTTTACTCTCCACCTACTCCTGAAAGAAATAGTTGGCCCTAGGCAGCATGCAGTGAGTTTATCAGAGCTTCTTTTCACTAAAAACTACGGCAGGAGCAGTGAGACCGAAGCTATAAGTGCACTGCAAAACCATAACAATAAGCACAAAAAGGGTTAAAAACCTTTTTAACCTTTTATTTTTTATTTGAGGGGAACAGCTATGATGAGACACTGTATGAAACTGAAAACAATTGTTATCAAGGTCCAATGAGCACTGTCTGAGATTTGACAAATGAGAAAGTATTGAAATTATTCAAATACATTTTTGTTTGGAATCTACCTTCAAATTAGCAAGTTAATTTAACATAAATTGTTTTTTTTTAATTTGAGTGTCAAGTTATTCTGGCAACTGTTTTATTTGAAAAGAAAAAGTTGTAGATGATGTTTTAGAGTAGAAATCTGCTTCAAATGAGCTGCGGCAGCCTGTGGTCTTTGGTGAAGTACAGACAAGGCCAACGCTGTCGATAGAGATAATTTGTCAAGTTTCAAGGGAGCTGACCTTCAGCAGTGAACGTTATTGAATACACACACACACACACACACACACACACTATATAGTTACATAATGCTTGTAAGCTTGGTGCAGAAGAAGAAGAAAGCGCACAAGCAATTTTTAACATATACACACACAAGAGTATACTGACATGAAAGAAGCTACAAAAAAATATCAGATAAAACACACACACACACACTCTCTCTCTCTCTCTCTCTCTCTCTCTCTCTCTCTCTCTCTCTCTCTCTCTCTCACACTCACACTCACACTCTCTCACACACACACACACACACACACACACACACACACACACAGTGTGAGCAGCAGGGAGTCATGAAAACAACAGAGCAGTGCCACTCTGCATGCATTATAAGATGACAGGAGCAATCAATCAAGCTGAGTCGGAGCAGGCTTTTATCAGGAATATATCAAAGAATCTGATTCCAGTAAAACAACCTTTATCATGTCATTTATGAGCCTCAACCAGAGTACAAGTAGGGTGAGAACACATGGTACCGCAGCCTGTACCGGGTCCAATGCTGCCACCTATGCGCACCACGGAGATGTGCGTCTGGTGAGGGGCTGTAACTAATTTAGGCAGCCAGGGGGCGCACTCATGTCACTAACCTCTCTCTCTCTCTCTCTCTCTCTCTCTCTCTCTCTCTCTCTCTCTGTGTCTATCTAGCAGGGGATGCCGGAGTCTAACCGCAGCTCTCCTCTCATTCATGCTGAGCGTTGCTCTCCTGTGCGCACGGAACTGCAGAGCTGAGCTTTGGAACCGGTGCTGCTGCTGTATGACAAGCCCGCCGGGAATGGAAATGTCTTCTGCTGCAACTCTGACATCCTAAAAAACATGCCAAGCAGGACGGACGTGAAGTGCGGTTTGATCAGTAAGTACAGCCAAACTTTTTGTGGTTGTTAATAATCTCCCCCTACTCGTCTTGGAGATTTTTTTCCCCCCGCATCCGAAATGTTGGTGACATTCCTCTCCTTTCCCCGCCGACCCTCTCCTTCCCCTCTCCCCTCCTTGTCCTCCTTCATATGCCTTCCGCCGATGTCTCTCTCCCCCGTCTTCGTCTCAAACATAAGCACACATGGACCGGCCTGTGCTGCAGGAGAAAATCCGGCTCTCTGTTGGTTCATTTTTGCGCTTCGGAACATCGCATGGCTTTGTTTTGCGCACACGGGGAGAAGCGGCATCAGGGCGCACGCCGGGGTTTGCGGATGAACTCTCTCTGACATGACTGATTTTTCTGGTGGAACTGGTCAAGTTGTTGAAGGTGAAGGATTGCCTTACCTCACTTGCAAGGATTTTGCGGATTCTGGAGGCGAAGTGGCAGCATGAATAGGCTGTTAGTGTATGAGCTCCACAGGGGGTGTTTTTATCTCCCACATGCTGGAGCTGTAATGTTTATATGGTACATCTGAGATCGCAGGAGTATTATAGGAATGTTGCCGCGATGGTTTAGTGATGCCATTAGACTAGCTTGAATCTTATAGAGCCTCTGGTGAGCGCGCTGCAGGCACACAATAATATTGTTGGAGTTCTTTGATTTGTGGCTGCTGCTGATTCTTTGCTGAAAAATCGGATTGAACCCGGTGTCATCTGCGCTCAAGACGCGAATTTAACTTGAAAACACTCTTTGCGTTCACTTTGCGCGTGCATGTGCGGTTATATGGAGACCATGGTTGTGTGTGTGTGTGTGTGTGTGTGTGTGTTACAAGTTTGTGCATGTATGCAGTTGTGTGCCTATTTGTACTTGTTAGGACGAAAAACGTGAATGCTTCAAAGTGTGTGTAGTGTTTGACCTGTGAGTCTGCGGGCTTGTGAGTGTTTTTCTTTAGGGATGTGTGTGTGAGTGCATGCATGTGCAGATGTGTGCGTGCGCGTGCCCCTCACCCACCCACACATACACACATACACACACACACACACACACTCACAGCATCATCATTTTGGAGTCGCATCAACGTGCTCTGACAGTTTTGTGTCACCTTATGAATTTTTGACTTGAAATGCGTAGGTGAGGCAGACAGGCTGATTTTGAGAGACTACCGGGCGCCAAGCCACCAGTTTGGCTGCCAAGCACATAGGAGAAAAAAAAATCTCTTTAGGTTATGTGTATTTGTTTGTGTGTGTGTGTGTGAGTGTGTGTGTGAGAGAGAGAGAGAGAGAGAGAGAGAGTCTTCTCTTTGCATGTTCTGAATCTCCTCTCATCTCCTTCTCTCTCCCTTCTTATCTATCTCCAGGGTGAACTTTGTGTGTGTGTGTGTGTGTGTGTGTGTGTGTGTGTGTGTGTGTGTGTGTGTGTGATGATGTGGGAGCTGTGGAGGAGATGCAAAGAGATGTATGGGGAAGAAAGACTTCTCCCCCCTCTCTCTTTAAGCGTGCGTGTGTGTCATGATGTGCCTGTGCTGGGACGTGTTGATAAGGCAGAAACCCTGAACATCACCTCCACTTTGGGGCTGAGGCGTGACATCCAAAGTGACTGCATGCATGGCTCTGGTGACATAATGATTGTGGAACATATTAGCTCCTCGTACACCCGCAGACACACACTGCTTGCAGAGGCTTTTAGCCCGAAATGAGTCGGAATCAGACTCCGGTGACAACGGTGCTGCATGTGCTTTGAGCTTCCTGTAACCTAATTACCTAGTTTATTCTTGGAGTCTTTTATTATTAATTTGTTCTTAGAGGAGATCATCCGTTTTCTTCCCGCTCTCTATGTATCCACCTTTCTATGTATTATTCTTTGGATGTTGTAACCAGGGTTCAGTCATGTTTAAATGAAGTTCTAGGATGACACTTCCCATGTGATAACATCTGTGGTGTTTAATCACATGTTTAAAGCAACCACATCCTACTTTCTTGCAGTTTTACAATCTCCAATGAATATGACTACACTTATGTAATATTTATATAGGAACTGATAGTGTGTTTGTGGTACTTGTGATAATGGATGTGGTATCATACAGTGCCTCTAGGTACACTAGGTAGTTTAATGGCAGTTTGATGTGATTTTTTGGTTAGTTTTCCAAAGCTTTGCTGTCATTGTTTCACACTGTTGTATCCTTTAATATTAAATGATGAATAATTAACTGCATAGTTCTTTTTTTATAAGGGGGTATTTAGGTGAACAGTCTCATTCTTGCGTTCACGGATGCGACTTTACTGTGTTTTGAAGTCTGTTCCTTCTGGAGATTCCTTGACATTGAGTTTTATGAGCCTTATTATAAGTGAAAATAGACTTGCCTGGCAGGAAATTATTGTGTTTGGGTGAAAACACCAACCGCCACAGGGAGCGTGTGTGCGGTCGGGTCCAGGTTGGTGTGGGGGTGGTGTTGTGTCAGCGCTCTCAGCCCTCAATGGCTCAGACCCCGGCTGAGCTGAGAGCTATAGACGATCGACGATGCACCCTGCGGTCCGTCTGCGTCGAGCTTCATACTTCAAATGCCTGTAATAAATAAAGCAAAAGAGGAGAGGTGGCAGTAAGAATGGCAATAAACCAGATTGATAAAGCACCTTTAACTAATTCAGTTCGAAAACCCCCAGAGGAAAGGTGTGATATGCCCATAGGATGTAATGAAAATGGCATTTAGCTGAGGGTTTTTTATTCCGAGTGCCTTCAGAGTCGACATTTGAATGCTGTATCGGTGGCCCCAGCGGGAGCTGAAGCACTGATCCAACAGCGTTAGAGCCATGCTCTCGTCTATTGAGCTGCTGATGACTAGACTGCCAAGTAAGCTGATATTACATGGCAAAATACCAGTCTGAATCCCACCTACAATAAGTTGTTTTCACCACTTCTGGAAGGCAGTTTATTGGATTAGCTCAGACTGGCATGTAGATCAAATAACAAAGAAATAGACCACTTAAGATAAAAATATAACAGATGTTATACATATATGCGAGCACCAAGTAAGGCTTGTCAGTGAAACATTACCACAACGTTACATACTGAATTATACCCAAAGGGCATTAGGTGTTGATGGGCATCTCTCCCTCTGCTGGCTAAAGCTAGTCTTTGTCAGTCATTTCAATGAGGAGAGTTCATTTTAAATATGATATCAGTATTTATTGGAATAGCAACAGTCCACCATTAAAGAGCACCCTCATTAAATGTAGGCTCAAGGAGATAAGAGATGCGACAGGACTCCCTCGGAGTATAGATGCTGTAGGTGGTGGAGTAAAGCCAGTAGCTGAAAACCTCTCAGGAGGATCTGCCAGAACAATCTAGAGATCAAAGTGATGATGGCAGAAGAAGTGGTAGGTTGCTCAGGATCAGGCCTGAAAGTCTGAGCAGCATCCAACAACCAGTCGGCTCAAGGAATGTGGGCAGAGAGACGAGATTGGATGACGTAGGAATTTGTGAATAAGACGAACTCTGACAGGAAGGAAAGTAGAAGAGATGGAGAAGAATTCAACAGTAGAGGAATAAAAGTAACAAAGCTTCAGGGGAACCTCCAGGTAGCCTGGTTTGTGAATATGTGAGGAGACTGGGAACTGGGATACCCCCAACTGGATTATGAAAGCACACAGCAAAATGCGTAGTTTGTATGCATGTAGAGTTTTTATCAAGCAGACCGTATCAAGCATTGCCCAATGTCCAATCATTTATATCAAAGAATATTTTAGTCTCTTGTTGTATTGGCTCCAACATGAGTATTACTGCAGTGGATGAGCCAATTTGTCCTGTTTTTTTGCTTCTTTTTCTGATGAGCCAGTGACAAAGTGTTTACAACTTCCAATTTCTGTCTGAACAAAATAGACAGATGAAGAGATTTGAGAAAAAAGTGGATGAGAGCATAGAGAGAGAGAGAGAAGTGGAAAAGAGAGCGATGAAGGGATGGAGCTTTTAAGTTCCCGGCATCTTTTTGATGCAGCCTCTGCAGTGAAAGGCCAAGGCAGATCAAACAGGGCAGGCAGATTGAAATAGTTTCTCTTGTAAGGGGAAGAGACGCTCCAATGCTGCACAGATGTGACAGGTAACCGCAAGACGGAGGTGGCAGCCGGTTTTGCACGCCGCCTGACTGCAAACACTCGCTTCCCAAGTTCAAAATAGGATGTTTTTGATTGTTGTTAGCATCCGCGTTTGGTATTTTCAAGTGAGACGAATGGTGTGTGTGTGGGCGGGGGAGTTATTTCCTATCCTAGTGTGAGCAAGGATAATTCTGCCGTTGTTTTGTCAGCAATTAAAAGAATTTCAGCAACCCCATTTTCTTCTGCTGCTGCAGACCATACAGCTTGTGTTTGTTGTCCCAAATGGCCAATTTCTGCCTTATGTTCTGTGCTGTCTGAACAGTCGAGGCAGCAAAATAATCAGTGTGTGTGCTAGTGTAGCCGAACAAACCCACATAAGTGAACTTGTCTGTGTTTCCTGTGCTTCTTTGACATTAGTCCAATCAGCACGTCCCCACATTTCTCACACACACAGACGCACGCTCGGACATCCTCCCTTTACCCTCCTTTTCTCCTTGTATATATTTAGTGCTGGGCCAAGGTCAAAGTTAGAGTGTTTCGTTCTTGTTTTTTCCGAACATGGCTTTTAGATGCAGATCTGTCTTCTGTTATCTGTAGTGGTAGTTAGACTTTCCCCAGGCCATGGTGGGATGTGGGAGGGAGGAACAGGGGGAAATGCAAAAAAGGTGGACAGAGGGAAGGATACTGCGGCACCATGACTACAAGGCATCCTACCCTTTATGCATCATTTGAAGACCAATACCAGCTTTTATTTTCTGCTAACAACTCTCAAATTCGGCCTTATATCAGCAGGAAGGGTTGTGATGCAAGCCAAAAACATTTTCAGACACTACACTGAATTGGTTTTGGAGAGGAATAGGTTTGAAACTGAGCTCCTGTAAGGAACTTAGAGGTGAAAAGTACACTCCA